TCTTGATGAGTGTAACATCGGGATGAGCTTATATCTTTAAAAATATCAATAGTTCACGAGATACAAGGTCATTTCTAATGTATGACTATTTTTTTCATCAGGAAATGTTGTTAATGGTACAATCGGTAAACAGATGGTTGATACATTGGTAGAGTCTGCGAGTAATGTCGAATTGATCCTCAAGTACTTTGACATGTTTTTGAAATTGAAAGATCTCGTGTCCTCGCCAAGTTTCCTCGAAGTTGATCTCAATAAAGACGGATGGGTGTATCCAAAAGACTTTAAAGAGAAAATGGAGCAGCAGAAAAGTTATACACCGTAAGTTTATTTTCTATATATCCAAACTAATATTTAGAAGATTAAATTGAATAAAACTCTTAAACTTGAAACTTTTAATATTTAGGGAGGAAATAGATTTCTTGTTGGCGTGTTGCGAGATAAATCATGACGGGAAAATAGATTATGTCGCTTTTATGAATCGATTCCACGAGCCAGCCAAAGAAATAGGATTCAATTTAGCGGTGTTGCTAACGAATTTATCAGAACACATGCCAAATGAACCCCGTCTGGCGCGCTTCCTCGAGACAGCGGGCTCTGTTCTCAATTACTTTGAGCCATTCCTCGGTAGAATTGAAATCCTCGGCGGAAATAGGAAAATAGAACGCGTTTACTTTGAGATAAAGGAGTCGAATATTGAGCAGTGGGAAAAACCGCAGATCAAAGAATCCAAGCGGTCGTATTTCTACAGCACGGTGGTTGAAGCCGGAGACAAAGAGAAGCTCGAGACGTTTATTAACTTCTGCGAGGACGCTATTTTTGAAATGCAGCATGCGAGCGCACTGATGGCTGTTGAAGAGAGCGGAGGAATTGGCAAAGCCAGAGAATCCTCTTACACGTATATCACCGACGACGATGAGGAAAAAAATAAAGATCCAATTAGACGAGGGATCCAAGCTTTCAAAGACGGAATTTCATTTTTGTTTGCAATGTTCTCGATTGCTAATATTAAGAACAAAATTGCAGAAATGCAACAGATGACGATACCTGAGCTAATTGTTGGATTTTTCAAAATGATATTCTACGCGTTTTATTACTCTGGATTTGGAGTTGGAATTGTTATTAATTACTTTTTGCAATTTTTATTGGCTTTGATGCGCGGTCCCCATGTTGAAGAACTTGTTGTTGAAGTTAAGGAAGAGGAAGAAAAATATTCACGGCATTTACCTACACTACCACCGACTCCTGATGAATCTAATTTACAAGTAATATTTTTTTTATATATTTCAAAGTTATTTTATGTTTTTAATTCTTTAAATTTTTTAAAATAAAATTTTAATAGACCCTTTAAATTTTTTAGAAAAAATAAAAGTAGTCCAAAAAAGTTTGGAAAATCCAAAAGTGCACGCCTCATAACGCTCATTCATTTTTTAAGAAAAAAATTAATTGTGTAATTAATTGAAAAAAAAAAAAAAAATTATAATTAAGTAATTTCTTACGGAGTATTTTTTACGCGCTTCGCGCTATGAGGCATGCAAAATTATAAAAATTATTTTTACATAAATTTGTTGAATACTTTAATTAAAAAATAAATTAAAATCAGGTACAAGCATTTGGTATGGACATAACTAAAGAAGAAGGTGGTCAAATAAAAATAGCTGCTCACGAATCGAATCCCTCGTCTCCCCAATCCAGTATAGATGAACCAGGAGAAAGTACTCCTGAAGAAGGTTTAGTTGACGGTGCTAGTAAAGCTGATGGTGAATCTGAAGGACCTGTTACCTTGGCTGATCTTCTAGGGTATGCTATTTTTATCATCCGTTTTATACGTGAAGCAATTCTATATCTTCACTATTATTTAAATATCTATGGTCTAATTAGCAATTGGTCTAACTCCGTATTTTTTAGAAGGTGATTTTTTAACATTTTGATGTAACAACAGTCCAATTATAAATTATTTAAATGATTCAAATGAAAATATTATACCTCTATTAGATATTAAATTGTTTTTTAAAGTGATAATAAATTTTGAATTAATTGTTTTCTCGCGAAAATGGAAGATTTTATAAAATGAAGTTAGACAATTTGCTAATTAGAATGTCGATATTCAATTTTATTCACAAAATAATAATATAATTTTTTAGCGGTGAACAAGCAAGAGCTCAAGCCGCTGCAACAGCAGAAGCAGCAGCAGCCCAACAAGCAGCAATGGCTGCAGTTGAAGCTGAATCTAAGCAAGAAGTAACTGTAGAGCCATCAACGGGTTACACAATTGACTTTTCAGCTTACACTCATCGATTTCTTTCTATGTTGGCTAGAAATTTCTACTATCTTAAATATGCAGCATTAGGTCTTGCTTTTGCGATCAACTTTGTTCTTTTGTCCTACCGAGTAATACATCATTTTTGATAAAATTATTTTAAATGATTACTTCAATTATAGGGTGAACTAATGACAAATCTTTAACTATCAGGTATCAGCTGTATTCGACCAAGATGACGGCAGTGGAGATTCTATCGATGACATCTTGTCAGAAATGTCGGGAGCAAGTGGCTCGGGTTCGGGTTTAGGAAGCGGTTTCGCGGAAACTGCGAGCGGTGGTAACGATGAAGATAGCTCTCAAGAAGAAGAAGATGATTCGCTTGAATACGTCTCTGTACCAGAAGACTACTTTTGGCTGGCTCACTTGATGAGACTAATGGCCGGTTTACACTCTCTAGTATCGTTGGCAATGCTTGTCGCTTACTACCACCTCAAAGTACCGCTCGCTATTTTCAAACGTGAAAAAGAAGTCGCTCGTCGAGTTGAATTCGACGGTTTGTATATTATGGACAACACTGGCATTGAGGGTGAAGAAGTTAAAGAAAAATGGGATAAAATAGTTATATCTGCCAAGACTTTTCCTGTTAACTATTGGGATAAGTTTGTTAAGAAAAAAGTCAGACAAAAGTACAGCGAAACTTATGACTTCGATGCTATTAGTAATCTTTTGGGGATGGAGAAAACTTCGTTTAGTCAACAGGAAGACGAAGGATCTGGAATTATACATTTGTAAGTTTTATTTAATTATTACTAGCAACCTTACAGACATCATGTGACTGTCGGGATTTGTGAACTATAAATAAATAGAATTTTGCTTTATTAAATAATAACTTTTGTTAAATTGCACTGTACTTTTTTAACTATTGACGTTTTTAAAGATATAAGCTCATCCCGATGTTACCCTCATCAAGAGCTTTCATTTGAGTACCCACATGCATTTTGATATATGTTTCATATATATATATATATATAATATATATAAATATATGAAAAATTGATGTGGGTACTCAAATGAAAGGTCTTGATGAGTGTAACATCGGGATGAGCTTATATCTTTAAAAATATCAATATTTCACAAGATACAAGGTCATTTCTTAATCATGTATCTAGAGATGAAGTATTTTCGAATGTAGCCTAAATACTTATCATCAATAAATTGACTATTGGTGAGAATGATATGAAACTATGAAAAGGCACAACTCTAGGTCAAGACTTTTCCAACGATACCAAATTTAACCATAAAAACCTATTTTATCATATAAATAGACTGGCCACAAAATTTTTCTTATTCTCTTAATAATATAGATAATACTCCAATTTTTTTTAAGTAACATAAAATCATTTTGACCATCTGATGATCGTGTAATAATTTTTTCAGTTTCTTTAGCATCGATTGGAGGTATCAATTATGGAAAGCTGGTGTCACAATAACTGATCAAGTAATATATTAATTACTAGTACTATAATTAATTTGTCTAAAGAACTTCATCGATAACAATAACTAACTAACTTTCTCACTTTCAGTCGTTCTTGTACAGTTTGTGGTACTTTACATTCTCAATTCTCGGCAATTACAACAACTTCTTCTTCGCGGCTCATCTACTGGACGTCGCGGTTGGATTCAAAACACTGAGAACTATTTTAGAGTCTGTCACGCACAATGGAAAACAATTAGTATTAACAGTCATGCTGCTCACTATTATCGTGTATATTTACACAGTCATAGCCTTTAATTTCTTCCGTAAATTTTACATACAAGATGAAGACGAAGAAGTTGACAAAAAATGTCACGACATGTTAACGGTTGGTATTTTCAATTAATAGATTAAAATTGAATAATTATAATATTTAATATAATTATTTTCTTCCACAGTGTTTCGTTTTCCATCTTTATAAAGGAGTAAGAGCTGGAGGTGGTATCGGTGATGAAATTGGTGAACCTGACGGCGATGAATATGAACCTTACCGAATTTTGTTTGATATTACATTTTTCTTCTTTGTAATTGTTATCCTTCTTGCTATTATTCAAGGTAATATTTATTTTAAAAATTGTTATTTAAATTGAATTTGCAGATAAAGTGATAATGAATTAATTACTTTTAATTAAAAATTTCAATCAGCAGTTTTTAATTACTTTTCATTTGCGGGTTTCATTTAATCCCTAAATTAATTACACTGTTTATTATTTATTTTAATTTTTAATTAACTGAAGCCAAAAATAATTACAGGTTTGATCATTGATGCATTCGGAGAGCTTCGTGATCAATTGGAAAGTGTTAAAACAAATATGGAAAGTAATTGCTTCATATGCGGATTGGGAAAAGAATATTTTGATGCTGTTCCTCGTGGATTTGAAACGCACGTTACTCAAGAGCATAATTTAGCAAATTACATGTAAGTATATTTTTTGTATTTAATTATCCATTGTACTTTTTTAGCTATATTGACGTTTTTAAAGATATAAGCTCATCCTGAAGTTACACTCATCAAGAGCTTTTATTTAAGTACCCACATCAATATTTCATATATTTATATATTTATATATATTATATATATGTATATATGAAAAATATATCAAAAATGCATGTGGGTACTTAAATGAAAGCTCTTGATGAGTGTAACATCGAGGTAAGATATTTGTTAAATTGCACTGTACTTTCTTAAATATTGACGATTTTAAAGATATAAGCTCATTCCGATGTTACACTCATCAAGAGCTTTCATTTGAGTACCCACATGCATTATTGATATATTTTTCATATATACATATATATAATATATATAAATATATGAAATATTGATGTGGGTACTCAAATGAAAGGTCTTGATGAGTGTAACATCGGGATGAGCTTATATCTTTAAAAATGTCAATATTTCACAAGATACAAGGTAATTTCTTAATTATGTATCTAGAGATAGAGCATTTTCGAATGCATCCTAAATACTTATCATAATAAATTGACTATTGGTGAGATTGATATGAAATCTTGAAAAGGCACAACTCCAAGTCAAGACTTTTCCAACGATCCAAATTAAACCATAAAAACCCATTTTATCATATAAATGCACTGGTCAAAAAATTTTGCTTGTTCTCTTAATAATATATATTATGATTATAAATATTATTAACTCTATGTTATTTTCAAAGGTTCTTCCTCATGCACCTCATTAATAAGCCAGACACCGAGTACACAGGTCAAGAGACTTATGTATGGAACATGTATCAACAGCGACAGTGGGACTTTTTTCCGGTTGGTGACTGCTTTAGAAAACAGAACGAAGCCGGAGAGGAAGAAGTCAAAAAAAAATAATTTTAAGTGTTTCTTTTTTTTTTTTTTTATTCAATTGATTATTCAATCAATTAAATAAAATATTATTTACTTACAGACGACTAAATATAAAGACAACCGACAGTAATGAATTGACAGAAAAAATTATTAAATCAATGACAATCTCATATCGTAGCGGGCTTTGAGTTTTTCTTAAACTCGTCTGTCGCACTGAATCAAAATTTTAAACAACTACAATTATTAAACAGAAATACTAGTACTAGTAATTAATAATTTTTATTTTATCACAACTAGTGACTATTGAACGCGAATACGTACGTGATAATAAAGTGCTTAAAATTGAGGCTTTTTAAATTTATAAAATTGGCTTCAAATTACATTAGATTATGGTAAATAATAATATTAATAATAAAAAATAATAAGCATTGAACCAAAATTTTTAAATAATAAGTAATGATGATAAAAATAAAAATTTAACAAATTTTTCATAGCCATGAAATTAAAAAAATATTAATAATAATTCCAAAACTTGCAATTAAATTTCACCTATTTTTTCAACTTTATAATAGCTTAATATTCAAACCAATAGTTAATTACTAGACTATTAAAATTAGTACGTACGATTAATAAAGTAAAAATCTATAGATTTTAAAACTAAAGAATGCACAAATTAATTATTTTAAATGATAAATGAAAAATAAAAATCTCATTATTTTCTACAATACTTTATCGAGTGCGACATTACACACAAATAACAATCAATATTATTAATAATTAATAATTATTTATATCTAATGTGCGTTAAAAACATTTAAAATATTTATATTGTTACATGAATGGAAGTGTGTTTATCCTATTAAATAATTTATCTGTTGTTTTGATTGTTATCCACGACTGAACTCATTAAGAATCATCTTTAATTATTAAAAATACATAACATATATATAAATATATTATAATATATTTGAGATTGTCAATATATTTGTAAATAAAACAAAAAATGATAAATCTTCGGCAGGGCTATCCGAATAAAAATAAAATATCATTCTATAAAAACAACAAATTTATCTTTTTAATTATTATAACTATGAAAATTAAGTTAGCCGACATTTAAAAATTTTTAGAATTTTTTTTTACTGAAAAAAATAAAAAAAAAAATTTTTATTTGTAAAAAACTTGAAAAACAATACGTGAAATTTTTTAAAACTATTTTTTAGTTCTAATTTAATAATTTAAAAAAAAAATTAAAAACGTCGGCTAACTTTAGTATTATATAAATATTATAAAAAATTGGTTTATTTTTTTGGTGATAATTTTGATATTTTAAATCAAAATTCCGTTTGAAGATAAAGATTCCGTTTTTAGATTATTAAAATTTAATTAATGATTTTTATAAATTACTTTTGATGTAACTTAACTTGAAAAACACGACCAATTTTTTATAATAAATAAATTAACTTACAAAAAGATTGAAAAGGATGTAAGAGTTATTTTAAAAATTCAAAATGTCATATAATCAATGACAAATGTCACGTAGAGTAAAGTAGAATTTATTTACGAAAGTGGATGCTGTTGTGCAGCAATAGTTTTCAACTAACATACACACATATGTGTATGTGTAATTTATTTTCAGTCTATGGTGTGTGGTGCAGAGTGTAAATGTAATGGAGAAAGAGTGATGAACAAGAGTGAAAAGATATAATAGAAGATGGGAGTAGAGAGAAAGAGCATCAGCTTCTGTTAAGGTTTAGCCGCAGTAGCGGTGGCTGGAATTATGCAGGGGATAAAAGAGAAAATAGTAGTAGTAGTAGTAGTAGTAGTAGTAGTAGTAGTAGTAGTAGGGTTTTGAAGTAAGGGAAGAAATGGGGTCGCGCAGGCGTAAGTTACGGACGCCGGTGTTGTACGAGACAGGGTGAAAATGCACCCTTGCATGGGAGTGTCATCGGGCGCTCGTAATTGTCATAAAAACGTAAATATGCAGCCTAGAAATGGTATTTGTGACAAAATTGAAAACTACATATCGGAGTTGAGTCAGTGGTGAGTGATTATCCTCAGCATATTGTTAGCTTATTGCTATTATTAAAAGTGCTCCTTTTTTTTCCTTTATTTTATTTTGGTCATATGATTTTATGTTGATGGAAATGAAAGATCGGTGCTTCCGGCATCGTAAGGGAGGTTCCTGGGTTAAAGTGGCGGGTGTTTACTACTCGCGTCCCTCTTTAATGCTCTCGTTTTACCGTACTGGCTTTAATATAGTGCAGAACGTTCAACGTTGAATTCAGAATCAGAATATATGTTGTATGTAGTATGTATTCCTATGCAATGTACATACTACTTTGTTCGACTGTGCTATGTTTTAGCTGAGAGCTCACTAAAGATCTATGAGAGTTTTTAAAGTCTATTTTATTTACATTTTTTGTCACTCAGTTTGTTCATGTTTTTATCCTCTATTGACTTTATTTCTTTTGTATTATTTACTCAAATTCTATTATTTTTATTCTACTTTTTATCGTTGTATAAATGTTTATAAAAGTTTTGCTTTGAATAATATTTAAACGCAGTTTTATTTTATTATTTGCTTTTCATAGTTTTCCTCGTTAAACAGATTAAAAAAAATTTAACATCATTAATTTCACTGAAGTCTCTTTAAAAAATTTAATTAAAAATATTTTCTTTATGAAGAACATCAACAACTCAATTATACATTTGAAATATTTTTCTCGCCATCATTAATTAATTTCACGAAATGCGGAGCTTAAAGTAGAAGAAAAAAAAAACGAGTTTTTATAAATAAAAATATTAGATATTTTCTCACCCGAAAAATTAAAAAATAATATCAACAAATTTTTATACTTGTAAATAAATTTAATTTCAAGTACTGAAGAGTATAATTACATTTAAAAAATAAAATATTTTCTTTATAGTAAAATAAAGAATGTAATTATAAAAAAGGTAAAGTACCTTGTTGTCAACCCTCTTATCTCTCTTCTTTATTAATACATAAATTTTCACACCATTGGCTTGATATTTTTCTTGACAAGAAAAATATTCATCAAAGAAAAAAAAACAATTTCCAGGTCAGTATGGAGGACAATAATACTCGGACAATTTTTGTCAATAGTCCTTTACTGGATGACTCAATTAAATCATCACATCAACACCGTATCATTACCAAAACTCAGTATTCCAACAGGTAAAACAAATTCGCTTTTTAAAAGATATTTAAGCATCAATTTGAACGAATAATAAAATTAAATTCCAAAAAAATAGGTCAAAATCTTCCGCATTATGTAATGTTGTGTCTGGTGTACACGACGTGGATGTCCTGCCGAGGAGCTGGTAATGGTTTAATTTCTGTATTAAGAGCCCGAGGATGGAGGTATTTATTGCTTGCATTTATTGACGTTGAGGCTAATACTCTCATAACTTCTTCTCACCAATTCACGAGTTTGGCAAGTATCCAGGTACACTTAAAAGTTTAAATCAACTTTTTCCTTTTTTTTATATCATTTATGATACAGCTATTTAATTACTCAGCTCTCAATCGCAGTACTTATATACAGATATTGTTAAAGTAATGTAAATTACATAGCTGGAGAAAACTAACGAGCAATTTGAATATTAAACTTCTGACTTTACATATCTATTGCATTTATACCTCTTTATTTGTTAAAGTTACTCGATTGCGTAGCAATTCCGGTGGCTCTGGCACTCTCATGTCTGGTTTTGGGAGTTCGATATCGAATTGTTCATATTGTCGGTATTTCCGTTTGTTTAATGGGAGTTGGGTGTCTCGTTTGGGCTGGTATTGATGACAATAAAGACATCGGAATTAATGGTAAACTATTGAATTTCAGTATCGCGTAATTAAATCACCTTGATAGTGCAAAACTTTTAATTTAAATTAATTATTTAATCTTTCAGGCAAAAATCAACTAGTCGGCGATATGTTGTGTCTTGGAGGTGCTGTACTATTCTCAGTAACAACTGTCCTTCAAGAATTAGCCGTTAAGACAGTGGATATTATCGAGTACTTGGGAATGATTGGATTCTTTGGAACTATTCTGAGTTGTATTCAAATGTAAGTATTTATTACGTATACATTTTATGATAAGTATGCAGTAAATTATGAATTTTTTAATGTTAATCGATTTTATTGCTATTTCAGTGCTGTGTTAGAAAGACTGCAGATAGAATCGGCGTCTTGGAGTACTGCAACACCGGTTGTAATAACCGCGTTAATATTTTACTGTATAACTCAGTTTGTATTTTTTTCACTTGTTCCGGTTATTTTATTCGAATCTGGAGCTACTGCGTTACAATTATTCCTCCTTACTGCCGATTTCTTTAATGTACTTTTGGGAATGCTTACACATCAATACAAGGTAATATAAAAATTTTATCTATTTATCAGGAGATAATAATAATTTTCTAATAATGTTTTTATAGAAGTATTTACGAATTTTTGGTAATTATTTACAAGTGGGGTCAACACTATTTTGGGCCATTAGGTGAAAAATTAACATTTAAAAATTTTATTCTGCTTGTACGGCGCTTTTATGATAAAAAATGTTGTGAAAGGAAAAAATAAAAATTTTGATAGCTTTTTTGCTTTTAAAAATTGAAAAAAATTTTGGCTTTCATATCTTTTGATAACATTTCTATTTTATCTTTTTTTGATATATTTTTTTTTTAAATAAATAAAAAAACGAACAATTTAAAAAAAAATTGATCAATTTGATAAAAAAAAAAAAATTTAACATGGCCCAGCATAGGTTGACCCGACTTGTAAATAATTACCGAATTTTTTTGTTAAAATTAAAATTTTTATTTATTTACTTATTCATTATTCATTGGAATAGAAGTTAACGAAATTACAAGAAGAGACAGAGCTTTAAAATGCACTCTATGTTGACATTTAATGAATGTCACGAGACAATTTGGAATTGAAATTCCTTGCATTATTGATTTTCAGTAATGTAATAAATTAAAGTGCAAAGTAAATACTGTTGTTGTTCTTTAATTCATTTACAATTTTTATTCTTCTAGTTGAACTTTTAAGTTGAATAATTTATGCCATAAAAGGTTTCAATTATTTTAAAGTTATTCAAATTTTATTACAACATAAAAATGCAAGTTTTTAAAAATACATCAGACTTTTTTTTAAGATGAATAACTTCAAAAATACTTCAAGATAAAAATATTGTTGGTTTATTAAACTTTTAGAAAACTCAAGAGTTATTGCTGAATGAAGTTTTGTATTATATTTCTAACTTTACTTAAATTTATTGCAGTTCCATACGTTATATTTTCTCTCATACACACTGACAATGACCGGGATATTTATTTACGCAATAAAAAGGACACCCATGTCATCAAATTCACGCAGACAGCAACAGTTAGAAACACCGGCGCCGGATTATAGGTAAAAAAATTTCTATTATAATTATTGCTATTATTTATTAGCAATAAATAAATTCAGAATAATAAAATATTAATTGACTTAAAGTGACGTGATTTTAAGACGCATGTCGCACCCGGATGGTGGAGAAGTAGAAATGGCCACAAGCTCAGGTATGTCAGCGGTTAGCGGCCCTTTGGACGGAATTGATGTCAAAGTACCGTCAATTATTGAAAGTGAACGAGAGACAATGGATGCTGGCAGTTTGCCTATAAGTGTAAGCTCCGATACGGCCTTTACGTCTTTTTACGGAAGCCAATCTAACTTATAATTTTATATAAATAAGTTTTTATTTTATTTATATTATATATTGCATTACTCATTGTCTCATTACTTCACCAAAATACATAAGTCATGATACTCAACTTCATTAACAATAATACTAATATTTATCACTCATAATTCATAATTAATTAATTATCGTAACAATATATAATTAAGTTGAATTAGTTGAAAAAAAATAATGAAAATAAAATAATATAATATATCAATCAAAAAAAATGAGATCAAACAATTTTAATAATTAGAGCGTTCATAATGAATGTATTGACAATTATCTTAAGGGAACACAATTTAAAAAGGAATTATTGTTTGTCTATTATTAATTATTATTTTCAGTAGTTATTTACGAATTCTAATACCGTTCATTCATTTAAATTATTATTATTAGTATTATTAAATAGAGTAGTTAAGTAATAATGTAATGATTAAATTAATGATAATAATTATTCTTCCGAAATGATTTGACGTTTAAATATTGAACGTTTAATCGTGATTGATACGTAAACGAATGAAGGGGTATTACTATACATAGAAAATTAATTAGAAATTTAAAATAGATTATGTAATAATTAATAATTAGTATTGGTAATCTTATTAACCCATTTGATGAAACTTTTTATAAAAAAAAAAAAAAACTTTCGGAGATCTTTAAAGATTTAATAATACGACCATTTATTAATGTTAGTACGTATAAACTTGTAGTGACGATAGATAAGATAACTAACGAAAAAAATTAAAACTGTAAGAAAATAATAATGTACAATAATTTATAATTGTGACAATCTCACATGAGACAGCTTGTAGCAGCACAATTTGAAACGTTTTTTTTTAACATTGTACATTTGAGTAATATTTAAGTATAATTATTTGCTTGGGCTGTGCATAAATCTCCCGGGATTCCTAACTTTTAAATCAAACGAGTGAATTATGAGACAATTTTTGATGTGCCAAATATTTTTTTATGAATTTGTAATATACTTTTATTATGAAAGAACAAGGGTTTTATTTATGTATTATTATTAGTCCGGATATAATTGTCATTTAATTTTTTATGAAGTTATTTCATACAAATTATTGTATAAATTAAAATATGTATACGTGTAATATTCCATCGATTTAATGTTAATTGCTCAAAAATATATTGAGCAGATAAATTTTACTTATATTTTTTATTTATATGTAATTATTGTATTCTTGTATTAAATTTATTTGGAGTATGTATTTTTTTTAATTTTTGGTGTTTAAATAAATTATTTAAAGAAAAACATAAAAAATCATTTTCAAACACTAGAAAATAATTCTATTAATTTTTTTTAATAAAGTTTTAGATGTTAAAAGATTAAAAAATTCGTGACTTGATATTTATAGGACTAATCAGCTCGTTAGGAGCTAAGAAAAAATTTATATTAGTAAAAAATAATTGTCACTCACCACATCAGAAGAATGCTAGGCCTGCAGTCATCAACCAACATTTCCTGAAATAAATCAATGAATTTATATATTTTACTCTCTTAATCTTAATATTTAATTTAATATCTTACCCTGATGGACGTATTTCTGCTCTAGGACACCCAACAGGACTCCGCAACTTAGATGATTTTGGATTTATCACTACTATTTACTTTGTAACACTCACTACTAACTACTCACATTACTTTATAACTATACTCACAATCACTTTCACAGTATTAAAAAAAAACTTATTTTAAATTAATTGTCATCATGAAATACCTGCTCATTCCAATCGAAACGACTGACTCAATAAATTAATCCATCAACTTTATGACTTTAAAGTTAGCAGTCGTTAGAGAATTTTTTAATTTTTTTTTTAAACAAATTTGTTCCAAAAAATTATTAACAAAAAATTGCATTTTTTATTTTTAAAAATTTATTTTTACATGTCAATTTTTTTTTTTCCATTAATTTATTTGTAAAAAAAATTATAAAAAATATTTAACATCTGCTAAATTTATTTTTATATCAATGAAAACTTATTTAGCAGATACTTGATAGTTTTAAGAATTTTTGTGACTAATAAATTATAATAAGAAACAATTAAAAAAAAAAATTGACACGTAGAAATTTAAAAAAAAATTAAAAATGCAATTTTTCATAAATGATTTTTCGGAACAAATTTGTTTGTTAATTAAATTAAAAAAATTGTCAAGTGACAGCTAAATTTAATGTCATTTAATATGAATTTCAGCTTAGAAAAAGTTAAGTGAATAGAGTTTTATACTTCCGCGAATGAATCTCTGTTAACATCTATCAACTGCACGGCTTGCATCAAGACTCTGATCTATCATGATAAATGTCATTTGAAAATTATCATAAATTACTTTAAGTCATTTTCCGTTTTTATTATATAAATATTTAAATTACACAAAACAACCATCTAATAAAAATAAATCTCAAAGTAATACAAAACTGATTAATTAAAATGGAAAGATTTTAGCACGGTTGATGCTGAAAGTCAACTGACAATGATAAAAAAATTCGTTTTACTTTACACCAGACATTATTTGTCATTATTAATATCTAATACTTCTAAATAATTTATTTTACTACGAAATTTTAAATACCGAATGTCAAGTGAAGTTAATTAATTATTAATTTCGTATAATTAAAAGATTGACGAGCTTACTAACTGTTGGAACGTTGGAGCTTGATGCTTTCAGCGGGTATAGCGTGAGCGGTTGTGTTGCGTGAAATGGCGTCGTTCTGGTTAAAACAGCTTCTGCGCGAGCGCAACTATAATACTGCGCATGCGCGAGATTTGAATTGAACCAATAGGAAGCTCGGAAAAAACTGGTGATCACTCGTAACGGTCGTAGACCCGCGAGCCGCGACGTCGTAATATCACCCGACTCCCGAACTACACCGACGATCCGAACAGGCAACGGAAGCACCAGCGCTGAGTTCAGACTCTTTATTTAAGTTTTAATTTATGATAAATTAGTTTAAGGTATATTTATGATAATAAATAATTAATTAAAAATAAGTATTTTTTTTTATTGCTGTGAGAATGAGTGTGTATGTATAATTGTGAAGTAATACTTATAAAGAATGAGTGTTTTAAAGTTAATATTGGTGAATATCACCGATGGATCCGAAGTCATCCGAGCTGAGGAAACCTGCTGAGTGTCCTAGAGCAGCCGTACGCCCACCAGGGTAGAGTATTAATTAAATTAAATAGTAGCTATTAAAAGTAATATTATAAATTTAATAGAAATAAAATTTATATTTTATTTTTTTTATTTCAGAAAAATCTAGTTGATGACTGCAGGCCTAGTATTTTTCTTGGTGAGGTAAATAAGAATATTTCATACATTAATTTTTATATTCAACTATACAGAAATTTTTAAATTATATTTATTATGAATTTAGAAATATTTTTTTTTAATTTTACGAAAATTTTCTATCCTTGTTAGTTTTTTATGCAAGCGATACAGAAGTATGATAATTAATGATGAAAATTAATAATAATAAAGTTAGCCGAAATTTTTGATTTTTTTATTTTGCTTTAATTTATTAAATTATAGTTAAAAAATTGCACTTATAGTTTTTGAAGTTTTTAACAAATGAAAAAATTTTTTTGTAATAATTCTTTAATAAAAAAAATTTTTAGAATTTTTTTTATTGAAAAAATGATTCCAAAAAAATTAATAAAATAATTTCATTTTTAAAAAACTTGAAAAACTATAAGTGTATAATTTTTTAGTTCTAATTTAATGAATGAAACAAAAAATCATAATATTAAAATAGTATTATTAATTAATTCAAAATTTTTTGATTGATTCATGCTTCAGAGACAAAGTAGGGCCATTTTTTAATTTAATTACGATATCATTGTATTAAACATCGTTCATCGCTTAATTTACTTGATAATTTTGATATTTTTAATAAATATTAATTTTTTATTAATATTTTATTTTAATAATTAGTCAATTATATTATTGTAATAAAAATATGATAACAGTTGTTATTCTTATTATAAGATGTAAAGGTAAGAATCTTTTTTATCAACGAAATAAAAACAGCGACAAAATATGCGGAGCTGTTTTTTGTTGCGTTCTTAGTTTGCGTCTTCATGCACTTGCTATGAGTATTGAGTAACGTGGTTGTTATTGTGTGAGAATGTCGTAACTAAACTTGTGTTTTGTGAATAAAATATAAATAAGTGCATTAATTCAAAACAATGGCGACTTCCATTGAAATTCCTCTTAAGGATACTGACGAGGTATGTACCAGAGTAATTAACTTTACTCCAAAAAATTATATTTTTCTGTGAAAGAATTTTAGTCATAGCCGGATTTAACCTTTAAAAATGTAACCTTTGATTCTATACAATGCACTAAATTTATTAATATATAATCTTAATTATAACATTTATAATAAAAAATACTATTTTTTAGGTTATTGAACTTAGTGTACAACAACTACCAGACGGAGATGAAGTTCTCACGATTTTGCGTCAAGAATCAGCTAAACTGCACATCTGGGTCGATTTGGCAGTAAATAATTTTTTTTTTAATTTACAATATCAATAATTGTCAGGAAATTTTTGAGAAGATGATAGCAATTTTTAAATATTGAAATATAGAAGCTGACTGGTCTGACATTCTTAAAAAAAAAAATATTTTATTTTTAATAAATTAAATTAAAAAACACCTCATAAGAATTTTTATAAATTCACTATTCAATTTTTAAATTCTACCATTGTATATAATTTGCATACAAAAAAATTAAATCCTTTCAAGCTTTTCGCTCTAATCTGAAGAAACATATTTTGCAATATTATTAATAACACCGTTAATTTTTTAATTTTTTAAATAAATTTATTTTTATGCAATTTTCGAGCCAAAATTTCAGAATTTAAAAATTTATAATTGAAGGAATATACCAATTATTATGTAATGCCGATTGGAGTTCAAATGAATAAATAAATAAATAAATAATTATCACAAAATAAAAAAAAAATTCCTTGAA